TTTTTATTAAACATTTGCCCTTGGGAAAAAAGATTGCTGAGAACAGAAAACCCTTTAAAAAAACCTCCTAATATGTTTTAATAAAAGGTTAATGGGCTTGGGAACATATGGACCCAGGTAATATAAATATAACACATTATTCTCCAGGGTGGATCTCTCAGGGAACCAGGGCATCTGCACTTCTTGTTAGTGTCCATTCATGTAGTGTAGCATCAGTCTTTTATACATGCATGGCTGCTGTGTGCAATCTGACCAACTCAGTGCATGCGGGAACACACACACAAAGTTACTTGTAATCAGCTGGTCACATTTGTTTAACAGCAGGGCATCTTATTCCAATAATGAGATGGTTTATTATCGCAACCAATTAAGTCTATAAGAGGATAATCAGTGCTAATGTGAGCCGTACTTCCCTTTCTGCAGCTCTTATTAAAAGTGCCCCTCTGCCTTGTAGCTCATTAACTGTCTTCTAAGAGCCAATTACGTGACAACAGATAACCTGCAGTGTGAAAAAAAAATGCAACATCCACAGATTTAGGTATAAAATGTACAATTATTTAGCCTTAGTGGATGTTGTGTGCATTTTTAGGACAGTGAAAGCAGCCAAATATACAGTACATTATGTTACAAAGCTAAGTAATTTTAATGCAGTTTGGCGGGGAACACTGTTGGTAAAACTCTGAGATATGTGGCTACACTGAAATTGCTTGCATACTGTACAGCATTTCACAGCATGCCTTGCCCTACAATGGACACTGTACAGCCAGAGCAACATTCTGCCAGACTGCAGCTTATTCCAAAAGGCAAGATAATATGTAGTCCAGATAAGACATAACCAATAATATTATTGTGTTTCTGCGCGGTGAATGGTTAGTTACTTTTGTTCATGTCTCTCTTCCATCATTGTATCTTCTTGTTTGTGCAGTTTCTAAAACATTCGTTCATGTGTCATTTTTAACTTTGAAATGTTATCAGTCACATGCAAAAACTTCACAACAAAGTAGACATGCAATCTTGGTTTCTTTTTGAAAAAATACTGCAGGCTGCACACCTGCCTATCTCCCTAAACTTCTCCTCCACCTTCATCTTTCCCCCCTGACTGACCGCTGCTGGAGAAAGTGATTTGCTCTTTCCGGCAGCTTGCTCTCGCATTAACTCTGCAGCAGGGTTTCATAGAAGAATGCCTGAAATGAACTCTGTGAAATATAGTTAAAAATATTCCTCTTGCTTTTAAAATTAAATGGGCAGTGAAATATACACATTCTGTCTTGAAGATACATGTGTCTTGGCCTCAAGGGGCCCTATATTGCTTTTTGGGCTTTCCCTTCCCTGTGTTATAGGTTTCTGTGCATGCAAATGGATTTCAAAGGCTAAAATCCCAAACTTACCTCCAGAGGGAGTTTCTCTCACACCCTTCCCCGCTGCCTGAAACGCCACCATTAGATTCCTTTGTTTACTTCAGGAACATAGTGACATCCCTAGGTAACACTCATGTTTCTATTGGTTAGAGCTCCAACACATTGCACGCTAAGGGGCCAAAAGACCAATCAGAGCAGACTCTGGTTTCAGACAGAGGGTGAAAAGAGCTGCTGCAGAAAGCCCTTTTTGAACCTTAAAGCATGTACAAATGTCACAGGCACACAATACAAATATGAACCTGAAAATGAGCATTATAGGGCTCCTTTAAGGACAAGTGTATAGTTTCGCCCTTTTCTGCTCTAGCAGAGTCAGACTTCTAATAAGAAACATATTATTCATACTTTTTTCAGAACAAGTCATTTAAATTGGTCCTCTAACATAGATGGGCCTCCTGGGATGCATAACAATGTCGCTACTATATAAACTCTCTCTTTTACATTTCAATAGACCACTTTTGTTATAGATTGCAAATCAAAGAACATGTTACAATGTTAGCTGATTGACCATTCTTCATGCAATCATTTCTACAAACTGTCTTCGAACAACGTGTGTTAGCCGCTCTCCTTGATTATGATAGTGCCTGAAAATCCCAACAATGAACCCACAAAGCCTCAACATGTCCCTCCACAAAATCCTTCAAACCTCCTTACAAATAATTTCAGTTTTTTTGAGACTCAACTAAAACTTTCCCTGCACTGATGGTACAGTTAATCCATTACAGAGTTTGTTTAATTAATTCAGCAGTGGCTTTTGTGTACTGGTTATTTTTTTTTTAATCTGTCTCTGAATTCAAAGTTAACAGATGAAGTCAGCACCATTTCTAGTACAAAAGAAATAAATGACTGAATGTTATCTAGTGTAAACTGTTTGCATTTAGAAATACTAGGTTATTGTAATGAGACTAGGCTGCATCATCAGCATTTTTTCTTGAAATTGGGACTTTTGAATTGCTCCCCGGTGCTCTGCACTGAGTTTGCGATAATCTGTCAGGATAAATGATTAACTTGTGTGTCTAACTCAGGGGGCCATTCTTTTAGATTTCATCCTTCTTGTTGGACTAATTGCCAGCCAGAAACTTTCAAATGTCAACATCTGCTCTCGGGGTTTGGAAAATGTTGCACATCCAACTCGGGAAGAGGCCAGAAGAAATATGACTAACAAAATGTCAATGTTTAAACTGTGAACGAAACATTTTAAAACATAGTTGCTTATCTTATGGCTTTATTTACAACCTGAATCCTCAAGAATGTTTTATAAAGGATAATATACAACAACATTATCAGCAGAGTACTTTAACCTGAGGCTTGATGCAGCTTTAAAGTCCTTTTTCACATGCTGTTTTTGTGCATTAAAGGTCCAGTGTGTAGGAATTAGGGAGATCTTTCAGCAGAAATTGAAAAGAATATTCACAACTATGTTTTCATTCTTTTATAATAACCTGAATTTAATAATCTTTTTGTTCTCTGAGCTTTAAAGGGGACCTTACATGCAAAATGCACCTTTTTAGATGTCTTTTATACATAAATATGTGTCCCCGGTGTGTCAGGGAACTCACAAAGTGTCAGAAAACAAAACTCTCCGTACCCAAATCTCTAAAAACGGTGGTACAACGGAGCTGATCCAGATTTGCGTCCGATATGATGTAATATCGGAAATGTGGACCCACGGCACTATCAGGAACATTGCTATCAGAAACAATGCCTGACATGTTTTGGTGGTAATATGGTCTTTGTTTACATTAGCATCACTAACACTCAGAGCTAACCTGTGCTGCAGAGAGTACAACATGTGTAAAACAGCAGGAATTTAAAAAAAGAACTCACCTTGTGGTAAACCCGCAAGAGAAAAAGCATTTGAGCTCCATACTGTTTCAGAAATAATCCTTGATGTGGTTTGGAACATGATATGGCATTTAATCACGGCAGCATTTAGTTTTATCTCCGGTATAATTCTGAGCAGGCACAAGCTCCCCCTCTCTTTTTTTTTTCAAGCTACAGTAAGGACCCTGAACCTGCCGTTCTCTAACAGGCCTGAAACAGAGGGATATGAGGGATTTCTGTTTGGTATTTTGAGCAAAACACATCATAGACATGTTTTTAATATATGTTTATATATCTGAGACCCATAATATCTGCCTATAAATAGCAGAATAGGAGACCTTTAACCCTTGTATGGTGTTCATATTTGTGTTACTCAGCCAGTGTTCTGGTGGACCCGCTGCCTTTTTGGGCTTCAATTCAACACAATCAAACTATTTTATGTTAAAATACTCAACAGATGTTTACGTCATCTCAATTACAAGCAATATAAACAGCATATATGGTTAATATTTGCCCTTTTACATTTGTTAGATCACATTAATGAATTAAAGTGCTACTTGTTTTTTTCCCCACTGACCGGCTGGTCCTGTGGCTCGTCTTTTGTTTGTAACTAGCTGATGCTCGATCTCATCCTCTTCTTCAAAGTCTGTCAGACTCAGACTTCTCAGAAATGTGATCCTCACATTCTGAAGCCTCTTCCTCTTCCTCTCCATCATCATCAAATGGTTCTCTCTCGTCCAGAACCATTTGCAAGGCCCTCTGAGCAGAGAATCGTTTGGCCATCTTGATCAGTTGTGATAAGGACCTAAACTGGCGAAGCTTTATTTATTGTGTCTTGCCCCAAATTTGCAGCTTGAATAGAGTGTGAAAAAAATAAAGATCGGTTCCCGCAAGACATACTGTAATGCGGGAATGTGAGAGCAGACAGGTGTCGGTGCTTGAGTTTATCAACAATGTTGCAACCTTGTGCGGGAATGGCAGGGGCAGAAACAAAAAAGTCACACACACACACACACACACACACACACACACACACACACACACACACACACACACACACACACACACACACACACACACACACAATTCTCATTGTAACACCACTGTTGTTCAATGTACTTCTTACTATTTATGACTTTTGTTACCCGAACACCCTGTATGTAAATGTGTATGGGGGGGGTACAGTGGGTGTTCTGATATATGGTCTTCGCAGAAAATGAGCCAAGGCCATTGAGTGTGGGTTTGAAAAAATGATTTATCATATCATTTTTCTTTAGTTAATTAATGAAAACGGGTCCCACAGACCTGAATACCACACAAGGGTTAAATGATTATTTTATATGTAGGCTGCTGGTTCTCTTTCACAGAGTTAATTAAATTTCTACAGCAGCCCAGAAAGGATAAACCAACAGGTCCTTTTGCTTTCTGTTTGAAGGCCAGGTTTTCTGAGAATATGATTTCATGGCTCTTGTATCAGAAAAAGATGATATCCCTGTAAGGTGGAGTCAGCGATTCTGGAGAGAGATTATTGATCATTGAACTCGACACAAATGTAAACTTCTTTATTTCAAGGTTCAAGGTTTTTATTAGTCATACGTACATAGCTACAGTGTAGTTATGACGATGAAAATCTTAGGTCACAGGCTCCACCAACAGTGCAACATAATAAAACTGAAAAACTGAAAAAATAGTGCAAGTAAATAGAAAAAAGAAAATGTCCTGTGATTTGTCGTAACTAATGATCTTCCCCATCTCTGTCAGGTGGCATCCCCTTCGTGCTGACAGGGGAACTGTTCGAACAGTCCTACAGACCTGCCGCCTTCATGATCGCTGGAATAGTGAACTGGCTGTGTAACTTCGCTGTGGGCCTCCTGTTTCCATTCATTCAAGTGAGTTACCTCATCCAAATCTCTGCACGTACACACTGTTAGGGTTTGGAGCTTCTTTTGGAGGCAGTTCAGTTCTGAGTTACAAACCAATGGACACAAGTGACATTTTTCTAAATGAAGCGTTACACACATGTCCTTGTTGGTCACTTAACCTTTCGCAGCCCCTCATTATTCCCTGCAGTGGCTGCTTGTCACAGCCTGTTGCTCTCCACCAGCACCTCCACCTCTTTACTGGACTCTCAACATATTTGCAATTAGATGTTTCTGTAGTCCCTCCATCACATGTGTATTTATATTATTTGTATATGCAAGTACTGAGCTCCAATGATTGTGCTTTGAAGGGTCATCGAGTGTTCCTGCCTGAACTTCCTGTACGCTTTTGAATTTAATTGAACATCAATACTGTTTTACACAAACAAGCTGTATTGAATGCCTTTAATGAATCATACTTTAAACCTATGACGTAAATCTTACGCTGGGGTTTTTCAGTTTTTGTGTGGAGAGCTTTAACATTCAGACCTGATATAACACTATGGATCATAAATATGAAAACTCCAGCCCTACTCCCTTTACTGTGAGTCAGTGTGATCTGCTGTCAGGGCAGCGAAGAGCTGCAGCTAAGCTGGGAAGGGTGATCCCCCGGGCGTCTGCTTTTATTATAACTAGGATTACAAGACATTGTTTTTTATTTCCCCTGTTAAAGTGGGAATCGGTGAATTTTTCAGCTCATAAATGTACGATATTGGCAGTAAAACATACTGTACTCTGCCCATTTAAAACACATTATGTTCTGTTCAGTTATCTTAGGGTATAAGCAGAGGTTTTAAGTTTGAAGTAAAAACCTGTTGATGCAATCTGGGTCATTGGGGTGTAATGTAATGTAACAGCATATTGTGAAGTATCACTAACCAAATGTAAAACATCTTCACTTCAATATGTAATAACACCCACACTAAAATGTCATGTTAAACAAACATTGCAAATAGTGTTAATACATTTAATAACTATGTTATAACCTGGTATAAACCAACCACAATTGAACATTATAAAACATCATTTATTTCATTTATTCAAGCATGGGTCTTACTGACTCAAAATAAACATTTTAAAATACAATTCTGTGGAGGAAATTCCACACAAAATCAACCTCTTTGGTAAGAAATGAACATATTTATTATGTCAATAAAAGTAAAAGCATTTAACAGAGTTCATCTATTTCTGCGTCTTGCACCAACAAGGTAGTACAAGGACTTTATACACTGAACAACAAAGGAAAGGGGAAGGTCGTTCAATAAATTGGTAGATTATTTTTTACTAGGCGAAACTAAAGTGTCACAATTTTCCTAAGCCTTCCTAAACATATAACGTGTGCAGGCAAAGATATCATCCATCCTCATCGGTTATTACATAATGCATGTATGTTTAATAACCAATCATCTATTACAAATTGCGTTAAAGTGGATTATAAATTGCAGTAAATTATAACAGAAAACAGGTGTTATTAACACAATGAAGTCAAATGTATTCGATTTTTGGTAATTTACAACAGCTCTAGTTATGTTTTTTTAAATGTTTTTTAATCTATTTAATATGACTGTTATATTGACTAAATGACTCTTGAACCTTTTCTTCATTACTTACCATGTTTCAGATTTGTTCAGAAGGTATTTTCTTCAGTTCTTACATATATTGGTAAGAAATGTACATGATGTTGTGTGAGCGGTGTCAGAGCGTGCGCTGTAGCTGAACAGATCCAGTGTCAGTGGACGATGAGCTGCTGCCGTGCTGAATATGAAGTACTCAGAAGCGCTTTCAAAGCCTGATAGGAGATGTAGTGGTTGCTGGCTGTTTCTTGTTTATTTTGGTTCGATTAAGGACATATGTAGTTTGTTTACCGGCAGAACTGAAGCACATAGCTGTTTTATCTTAGACTAATTATGGCCCGAAAAATATTTTCACCTCTTAAGCATTTCAAAAAACACCTGATGAAAGAAACCGTTCTAGGTAAAAACACTCATCAATGAAAGCAGAGATACACAGAATAACAGGTGAGGGCCAGACTTTGTCCCTTTTTAAATTAATGAATCATTAGTGCTCCTATTCTGGCATTAAAGGATATAACAGCTACTTCACTCTTGTGTGGTGCAAAGTGTGAGTGTCTTTGAAGAGCTTCATATGGGACCTGAGAGACATCTCTACTTTGAGAAGGTTAGTTGTGTTTTTTAAGAGTATAATAAAAGAAATTCAACAGACAAGAGCTTATTAGTGTCTGACACAATGTTTTTTCTGGAAACAGCAGGGTCCTCTTTCAACTTTAAAACCTGAGTGCAGCTTCAGGCGGCTCCACATCACTGCCTCTTCTCATTTTACCTCTTCTCTTTTCCCCTCCGTGCCTCTCCTACCCTCTTTCTTTGGCCACACGGCTTATTTGTTCCTTTTCTCAGACACTCTCTTTCACTCTTTTTACTTACCACTTTGTAATCTCTTTACTGAAGAAAACCTCTTAAGAAAATATAGTGTTTGTTCAACTTTGAATTGGGTTTTGTTGTGCTAAAGAATATTGGTTGGTTACTCTTTTTTGATAATTCGATGGATTGGATGTGTCAAAGTCTTTATTCGTTGCATGCACAACAATTACAGAAACTAAATTGTAATCAATAAAATTCATTTTCCTACAACAATGCTACTCCAAAATGTGTTAAAAGAAAAACATGCAAATCTGAATTTAAGAAAAAAATTGTGCAGAGTTTAAAATATAGGAATAAAATATACTATATTTATAATCCACAATATATGACTGACTGATGTATAGTAGTGATACAATAAATACACTTTGAAAAAGGATAAAAATGCATATGGATGTACACTGCAGTGGGTGCATGTATAAACAGGTAGTAAAAAGGCACCAGTGCGATACGAGTAAAATGTAAAGTGATGAGTTGAAAAGCTTCAGCGCTCTCACTGCCTGTGGGATGAAGCCTCCCTGAGCCCGGTGGTGTGAGACAATATATACAAAACGTGTCTCTGAAGTGTTTGGATTTGCATCCCATAATCCCCTCTGTTTCAGCCCTGTTTCAAAAGTGCTGATTCTCTGTCTGTTACTTTAGATGAAAATAAGGAGCCCTTCTGAGAGATATTTGGTTAAAAAGAACACAATGGTGCTCTAGGAGGAGATTCAGGTAATAAGGTGGGGGGGGAGGGGGGTTACCTTGGTTGGTGATTGGCTAATGGTTACACAAGCCAACAAATCGTTATGACATCATAAAGTGGCCAAAATCTGATCAGCTCATTTTCAGACAGGTTTGTATATGAATGGATCAGGACAAAAAGAAAGCGAATCTTTTTTCCTGAAACTTTCAGAATCTCTTTACACAGAGGGGACACATGTTTATGTATAAAATACATGAAAAAGTGGATTTTGCATATAGGTTACCTTTAAAGCACTAAGTTTATTTTATATATATATATATATTTTACAATATATGAACTGTCCGCTATTTAATTTTCTGTGTCCGAGGGAAATGTATAGCCATGTCGGTCATTGTTGGTCTATGCACACATGTTAGAGATACTGATGATTGATAAACCCTCCATACATTCAATGTACTGCTCACTATAGAGACCCTTTCATTCTTTATTACTGTATTCACTGCAGGAAGTAGCGAGTGAATTTTCCATCGTTAGTTTTTCAGATTGAGTGCCATTGTGTTGTATGGAGGACTGATGATAGAAAATAATAGAAGGGCAGGAGAGCAGCAAATAGATATTTGTGAGGTAGCACATTAGATAATATAATTGAAGTGGAAATATCAAACCTTGGGAGGTAAGGTAATTGGTTCTGCATGTTAAGCATAAGCCCCTAAAGGCTTTTTTTTACGATGTTGTTTCTTGGTGTTTTAAAGGAGAGGTGTCATGCTTTTCCGGTTATTACCCGTCCCCTTGTGTGTTATGAAGGTTTTTATGCATGTAAACGGTGTGCAGAGTCAAAACCCTCAAAGTACACCCTATAGCGAGTAAAACTCTAACACAGAAAATACCTCCCCAAAACGCCTCGTTGGAGTTAATCCATAGGTTAATCCAATGTGTCTGTGTCCCTTTGAAAGGATTTCTGATAATCCATAAGCAATGAGATTGATAATCCATGTTTTTCCGTTTCTAGATATCAGAGCTAGAGTGTAGCTTCACTCTAATGCAAAATTACATGCGCAAAGCCCCCACCTTTTTGTTTCACAATGAGTGTGTGTGGGGGACTCCCCCTTCGATTCTATTGGCTCTAACGGTCAGAAAGAGGTGTCAACCATCAAAATCGAGCAAGGGGGGCCAGAGATATGGAAAATCCACCCAAATGATCCCAGAAGTGTTTTTTTTTTCTTCTAAATCTCTCTAAAAAGGTCAAATGTCACTTGTTTTGCATCAATCTTGATACAGGGTACTTATTATATGTTGTACTTTGGATTCCTAAAGCTTTTAGTCTACTAACCCATCATCCAAGGGTAGTTTTCACTATAAGTAAAAAAGAATTTTTGGACGGACACTATAATAATATAATAATTTACAGTTTTTTACTATGTAAAATCTGAATTTTCTTTTAAATAAAAAACATCTATATTGATTCTGACTTTTCTACATCCAACTCACAGGTTTATCATTACTTTGAGAAAAAAGATTATTAATTTAACCCTTTTAGAAGGGAAGATATGGTCATTTGTTCTGGGAATGTCATTTTCGAGCCTGAGACCTGAAAAACAGGCTCAGGGCTTAACAGGTTAAATTAAGTACTTTGATTCTGATATATATATATATAATATATATATATATATATATATATAAACAATGCATTTCAAATTTAAATCAAAGACATTATAATATTCAAAAATGTATAATTAGTCACATTCCTATCAATTTATGATCTAATTCAAATACACTGTTAGTTTGATTTATTGATGCAGCAGCATGTGTTTCTAATAAACAGATCATGTCCAAAGAAGCATCAATATGAC